CATTTTTTCTCCTTGTCTAAGTTGTCTCTTTGTATTATCCAGCAGTAATCTGCCAACATATTTATATCCCACCTTCCTTGAAATCTACGTTCAAATTCTTTTGGTGAAACCTTTCACCTTCTTCTTCACTAGTCACCTTTATTTTCAGGAAATTGATTAAGATGAGAATCAAGGAAATGAAGTTTTAAGTTCATTAGGCAGCCTAATTTCTGGTAATTACGTACCATTCTTTTTACAATATTTATGTAATCTACGTCTTTTATGTTACCCAAAAATTTTGTTGACGCCTCTTTAAAACTTGCTTTCTCGGATTCATTCATAGTTGTGTCAAAGTTTTTATCTCTAAATAAAGTACGGATTTCAGGACCGTCAAAGAAGTCTTCTTTTAATTTAGCATCTGATTTCTTATAAAACACTTTTTCTAAGTATTTAAAACATTGGCTATTTTTGTCCAATACCTTCACTTATTTTTTTTATCAACCTAAGCTTTATGTGCAGAGGAGGTATTAAAATTTTAGACGGATTCACGAAAGTTCTTTAAAAATATTCTGTTTTCCAGGTTCAAATGACTCTCTTGGTGGCTAATTCTGTTTTTTGTAATGATTTTTTCTATCTCTATTATCCAACATATACAAATAACATGCATATATTGTGAATTGAGATTGTTGTCCTAATATCATGGATAAAATTTTCAAGTCTCCACATATTTGCAAATTATGTTCTTTGTACTTTATTTTTGTTAAAACCAATTAAAGATTTGAATACTCTTTGAGCGTAGTTGACTGAGCTAACGGTATAGGAGCATACTTGTTTTTATTGTGAAGAAATACTGCTTTAAGGCTGCGCTGTGATGGATCAATAAATAGTCGTCAATCCTAAGGTTTGTAAACGTCTGGCTTTAATTCATCGATAAGTCTTTTTACGTTAATATAGTAAACTAGATCTGCATTTTTATTAAAATACTTAAAAAACCTTTCCTCTCAGTTACGGTATACACTTACTCTAGTACCCTTCGTCGCCATATTTCTTCTCTTTAAGTCTGAAGCTAGTAAATTCGATTATTCTTTAGTTAAACCAATCTTTCTAATTAAATCATTGGGACTTTTCTGATCATATTTTTCAACAGTTCGCTCTTTATCGATAGGAACATACTCTTTATTATTGTATAGAGGAAAAATTCTCCTAATTTCTAGCGTTATCACTTGAACTAGTTTCTTGTACATTAATTTAATTTAACGAATGACCAAATATATCTCTTGATTCTTTTTAAGCTTTTCAAAAATACATTGTTTACAAACTTTATACGATCTATTGTTTTTAAACAAAATATTCAATCGCTTTTATCTTTTTGTTCTTTCTATGTTGTAGGAGTTGTAAAATTTGTTTAGTGCTAAATAATATGCTACCTTATTTTCATGAGCATGGCTAATGCTCAAGTTTGGGTGTGAATAGCCTAACTACAATTTTCACTTGCCTTTGCTATACTTTACATCAAGCAAGTATTAGTACTCTGTTATGGTACTTATGAAAGAATATAAATGCTGAACGATTTTATCGTATCTGTTTATACTTAACCTCTGGACCATGTCTCCGAATAAATTTAGGGTTTCTCAACCGAGGCCTAATAGTCTCATAACAAAAACCAGTCGTCTATTTACTTCATAATAAGTATTAACACATAGAGAGGAATTGATTTCTTGGGCTCTGCACGAACACTCCACTGCTATTTTAAAACCAAAACTACGGCTATCTTTATCTGAAAACTGGACTAATTCATGACAAGATTCACAGATTAACATGCCCGTTATGGCTCCAAAAACAATTACAAATTCAATAATTCGATAAAAATGCATTGAATTGTTACTAGGCTCAATATAATCTGACATACGCAACTTCTTCGCCGAGGCGCATAACTGGATTTCATCTCGATCTTGTTGCAAAGATGGGTTGAAATATTGGCGTCTTTTTCTGGACCTCGATAAATGATTTGATGATCCACACGGCACTTTTGAATAAGCATTCGACATGATGTTTTTCAAAATTGGAAGCGGGCCGAGCGCACTCGATCGTCTCGTCGCGTACGTAAGCACAAATATACCTGATGCGTCGGACTCTGACGAGCTATATCTCAAAAACTGTTATCCGTTTCGATTTGAAATTTTGGGTGGATGCTGCTGATTAGTTTTAGTATCGATTGCAACTATTTTCAAATAATCGATTTTTTGGACCCTGTAAAGCATATTTTACATTTGAGAAGTTTGCTGATCAGTTTTATTAGATGAGTTTGTTAAAAAAAAATATTAGATGGTTTTTTCATAGAACGTTTTAATTTCTTCTTCTATTGATGGTTTCTTTAGGCCATTCCAGATGATGTCGTTGATAAGAATTATGGAGCCTGTACCATATTTCGTAAGACGCTATAAAATCTTTCCAGGATTTTATTAACCGAGTTTGAAGCGGCACTCCATAATTAAATGCCATAAGTCCAGATTGATTTAATTATAGCCTTGTAAAACATTATTTTATTTTCGATTGTGAGCTCCTATTTTCCTCTACGAGCCAGTACATTTTTCTTAATTCAGCCTTAGTTGTTTACGTTTTCTGAAAATATGTTGTTTCTACGTGAGCCTCTGGTTTGAGTATATAAAACAAGACAGTATGTTACGTATTACATAAAATAATAATTATTTTATTTATTTTAATAATTCGGAATAAACGTCAATTGTAAAATGAGTATGCGTGAAGCTGACAGTTATACTTGTATGGCTGAAGATGTTTATTTCTCAAAAGAAAGGGAATGATAAAAAGATAAGCTAGAAACTGAACAATATCTTATATACTGCTTATCTAAAAAATATTGTACAATTTAGACGCGATACCCCAGCTAGACTGACTCTTCTTGATAAAAAAGATCCGACATAGGATGGCTGGTCCACCCAGAAAAACAGGGATCAACGTTGTTCTGGTTCGAAAATTGATACCACGGGGCTTGTCACGTTTCCCACATGCTATCCCATATAAAATTTTCTCTCTGACTCAGAGGCAAGAGGAGGAAAGAGAGAGGAAGAAAGTGAGTAAGTGAATGAGGGAGGAAGGAGAGAGGGAAGATGGACTGACTGAGTGAATATATACGAGGTCTGTCCGGAAAGTATCGGGCCAACCTTTATATTTTCTTACTAGCGTTATTCTTTATCATCTGATGGGTGGCATCCTTCAAAGTAATCCCCACTTGATTGAATGACACGATTCCTTCGATGTTTCCACTTTTCAAAACAGTCCTGGAACTCACTTTTAGGGATAGCCTTAAGTACACTCGTCGCATTGTTTTCAACCGTTCTTTTGTCATCGAATCGGTGTCCTTTGAGTGGTTTTTTTAGTTTTGGAAACAGCCAAAAGTCACAAGGGGCTATGTCGGGACTGTATGGAGGTTGTCGAAGCAATGCGATATTCTGTTTGCTCAAAAACTGCTGCACAAGATTGGATGAATGCGCTGGCGAATTATCGTGATGGAGAAGCCAGTCACCACTTTCCCAAATGTGCGGCCGTTTTCTTCTTACTGCATCACGCAAACGTTTTAAAATCTGAACGTAGTATTCTTTATTGATTGTCTGACCTGTTGGTACATATTCGTGACGTACAACACCTTCACAATCGAAAAAAACAATCAACATTGACTTAACATTGCTCCGGCTTTGACGTGCCTTTTTTGGTCTTGGCGATTCAGAATGCTTCCACTGTGAAGAATGTTCTTCTGCTCTGCTGTGAGCAATTTTGGGATGAATTTCGCACACACGCGTTTCATTCCTAAATTTTCGGTTAAAATTTCTGAAATGAGTTTTTGGTATCCCAAGGTCTTTTTCTAGTTCTCGCATAGTCATACGACGATCTTGTTCGATTGCAAGTCGCACCCGCTCAATATTATCTGTTGTTTTTGTCGTCGAAGGTCGGCCGGAACGAGAATCACTATCGACAGAAGTGCGACCACCCTTGAACCGTTTATACCACTCTTTTATTCGTGTTTTGCTCATACACTCGCTTCCGAAGGCCTTTTGCATCATTTCAATAGTTTCCGAACTCGTTTTTCCGAGTTGAAAGCAAAATTTGATGCAAATTCGTTGACCTTGTTTTTCAGTCATTTTTGACAATATCAAAATCCGACGAACGCGAAAAAGGCACTGTAAACAAATACACACTGCGCATGATGTCCGGCAGGTGTCAGTAAGACCAATAGATTCGTGAGGCTTTACTGTTGACGTTTCTGTCCGGTAGAGGTCGCTCTAACACTATGGCGCGAAGATATAAACATAGACCCGATACTTTCCGGACAGACCTCGTATATCAAAAACTTGAAGTCAACGAACTTTTTCATGGTCAGATTCGTTTTCAGTTACCCAAAATCTACGCGATATAACTATTCATTCTCAATCCACATCAGTCACGTCGTGTAATGTAATTCATAGGATATAGAAATGACCATCATATCATTGATGGTTATGAAAACTACCGATTGCAGCCGATGCAGAAAGCGCACGTGCACTATCACTGCATGGATATCCTTAATGCCTTCAATTCGGTCAAGGATAAGAACCTACATTATTCAGACCTAGAACTACAAGTACCTTACTGCTATTGAATCGAGTTATTTCTAACAAGATATCCTAATCTATACAACTTAGGAGGGAAATATATATAGCTTCTACAACATCACTAAAATAGTACCACAGTGACCGGTTCTGGGCCCACTACTCTGTTACCTATAATAAACTGCTATGATTTCGACTTAAAATAGGGTAACGATAGAGAACGTCATGGACGAGATCTCGGTAATTGTTGCGACTAAGATCATTGAAGAAAATATTAGAAACTACGCAATAGAAATCGTGCTAGCCTAATTTAATCTCACAACAGAAAAAAAACGGAACCTGTATTCATTCATTCACTGTACATAAAAGAATTCTTTCTCACTCTAAATATATATATATATATATATATATACTAACCTCACATAATAGTTTCAACAAAGAATCCCTAATTTTAAGAGATGGAAGTGATCGATCGGGCATAGGTGACAACCAATCTGTAAGAACTGATAAAACGTTGTGTTCTAGAAATGCTAATTGTAGGTCATGCTTTTTTAACTGAGATAATGCTTTTGGTAGCATTGCTATCTTATTCATAGCTGGTTTACCAAGTTCGTTTAATTTTCTATCTTCATCATAAGCATTCTTCATATCTCCTAATAGTTGAGCAATTATATCATCATTGTCATTGATAATATCGATATCTTTTCTTTTCCGTCGCCGAGACTGCTCCTCTTTACGTTTAGCCAGCATACGATCGAAATCTGATAAGCAGTCATCACTATAAATAAAAAAATATGAATTGAGTAATGTTACACTACAATGATGTTTTTATACTATTCTTATTAATATGATACAATGTAAACTACATCTCACAGAGCATAAAAGATATTAGAAACTAGAAGCACAAACGATTATGATAAAAAAAACACCAAAACAGAAGGAAAAAAATGTCAAATAACGGTATGTGATGCGAATTTAACCGAACCATTGCTTAAAGGGTAAACATGTAATGTACTTTTACCCTTTATTGTTTTACATTCATAAACTAACGTGAGAAATAATACTATTTAGCGCTGTTATAAGTAGATAATATGAGTCTTCTACGATAAGAAGCTTGTCTATCGAGAAACTATTTCGGAAGGTTAAACAGTGTACCCCTAGGAGTAATTTATTTCTAAGTTTATTAAAAGAAAGTTAGTTTAACTCGGCCCCTTTTTATTTTATTATATACTTTTCTTCCTGCATATTTCTCCATCTTCCACACGCGCGCCTCAAAAAGAGAAGAAAGAGAAGCCATCGACTGTCGCGAACGCGATATCACTGACAATAAGAAAAAAAAAATCAATAGAAGAAGTGCTCGGTAGCATCATTATTAACAGGTCACTCCAGTTGTCAAATTCATCACACTTTTCCATGAATATTTTTTAATGATTTTAACATTTCTAAATAAATAAGTATATCTTTGGTCAATTATGAAAGTACAACATCGTACCAAATTATATAAATAAAAAACTTGAGCTGGCTTCAGTCGTTCTTATGTTGTCAGTCAAGTGTGAACTTTTGATCGGGCTATAGTATCGTTGTACAAGGTGTTTGAAAAGTTCCGGAACAGCATGATAACTCGGTAGGAACCAATGTTCGGAAAAAATATTTCATGTCAAAGTGATGGGATTTTCTTCCTGGCTATTCAATGGTGATCTCGAATTTGACCTCTAACTCGACCTTCAAGGTCACTAGAAGGTTAAATTTAATTTTTTTAATAGGATCTCGTCTTTTTGACCTCGGACAGAAAAAAGTAACTTATTTAATGTTGAGATAATTCTTAATTTTTTTCCAATTAGACATTGCAAGGTAACAGTCAAGATCAAATATCGCTGAGGCAGAACATCTGAACAAAATGGTCATGACGTTAAGTTACGGCAAAACTTTTTACAGCCCAACCGGTGAAATCAAGATTCTGTAGAGTGCAGCTAGTGAAGTCAAGATTCTGCACAGTCCATGCAGTCAAGGTAACACCTTTCACAGCTCAACCAGTCAAGGCAAAACCTTTCTCGGCAAAGTCATTTAAGGCAAAAACTTTCACGATCCAGCCATTCAAGGTTGGATCTTGCTCGTTCCAAGCTTGCGAGTAGTTGTTACTCATATTTTGGTAGTTGCAGTATTTAAATATCAGATTAATTTATTATTTTACAAAATGGCGAATCCAATACGGTCGTTGCAGAAAATTTGTTTGCTCATTCAAAGTTTGCAAGTAACCGTTATACATGTTTTGATGGTTGCTGAAATCCAATTATTGAACCGAAATCGGGAAAAATTGACCCGAACCAAATTAATTTTTCCGAGAACTCATAAAGCCCTACTTTAATATTATTCATTGAGATATTCTGCCTTAGCGATATTTGACTTTGACTACAATGCAAGATTGAATTGAGAAAAATGAAGAATTATCTCAACATTAAATAAATTTTTTCTCTTCGAAGTCAAAAAGATGGCATCCCATTGAAAAAAATCAATTTGACTTTTAAATGAAATGAAGGTCAAGCCCAAGGTCAAATTCAAGGTCACCATTGAATAGCCAGGGAAAAATCGTATCACTTTTATATTAAACATTTTTTCCAAACATGGTTCCCACCGACTTATCATGATGTCCGGAACTTTTCACACACTTTGTATATTATATATATTATAGCAACTATGCATTTGTAAATAGATATTAATACTATTTATTTATATCAAAAGATTATTCATTGTCGGTGAATGAAAAAATTATTTTTTCAGAGGTCCGTGTCGAAACATTAATATAATAATGGAACCATACATGGATATCAGTTTGTGAAGATCTTACAATTATTTTTGTGTGTGTAAAAGATTGATTTATAATTTGGTTGTGTGACGTCGTTATTATTCTTGATTAACATTACCATAATTAATTTATAAGACAAAAAAAATTGTAAACCAAATAAGAACGAGTGATAGCAAAAAGGACGGAAATATCTTAACAACGCGAACATAAGAATAAGTAATGTTGTATTGCGCACGAATTATGACCCGATAATGATAGAAGAAAAAATGTTGAATCTAATTTATTTCAAAATTCAGAGAAATTATGACCGAAAACACAAATTTCGTACACTTAACTATGTGAAAAAAGCCCACTATGCAAGATGCATCACTCGAAACAGAAATTATACCATTGTTATCTGATTTTTCTGAATTAGAATCACAATTACATACTGGATTACAACGGAAAGTAAAATTTGGGCGAATATGTGAAAAATTGAGTATGCATTAAGAAAAATAAAGTTATCTTGCAGGTCAAAAGTAAATAAAGCAGACTAAAGAACAAATTTGTGAAACAAAATTTAAAAGACGATGTGAGGAATATTATGAGAAAATGAAGAAAAGCAATGTATGATCGATTGTTCTTTTCGGAACAACTGAAAAAAAAATTAAAATAAATTTAGTGATAAGAAACCAAAGTCCACATTTGCACAAGTAATAGTAGGAAAAATTAGAAATAAATATCGTTGTATGGAAAAAACATAAAGATTAGTGAACAGTTACTTGCAAAGAAAGTACTTGGAAAATACAGAGTGAGAATTAGATAGAAAGAATGAAGAGTGTGAGAAGAAACGCTTATTTTTACAAGAATTTTACGAACATTATAGGACAAGGACGATCATCAACTCCATCATGGCACCGGGAGCGAAAGATACAACAATGGAAGTTGAAATAACTCAAATAAAAACAGTATTTACAAGACACCGTCGAGAATTCGCATCGAAATTTTTGCTTTGAAACGTCAATCGCAATTCGTGAATTATTATTTTATAATTTAACTCTTTATCCTTTGCGGCGCACATTGTTTAAAACGATATTTAATATATCTCAGATTTTAATTGATATTTTACGATGAAACAAATTTCATATCACTTCTTATGTAAATACGAAACTAGCGCATGCAATTCTGACCACAAAGGGTACAATCTCTATTTTGTTTCATCAAAATTTCTTCCTTCTTCGTGCATATATTTTAAAAAAATTTTATTAGCAAACAAAAAAATATTACTGTGGATCGAATACAAAATCAAAGTTAGCCTGTTCGAGATTATTTTTGAATCACCCTTAAAATTAAAAAACCACCCTTAAAATTAAACAAAATGATTTTTATAGACACATGTTCTAGTTGATAATTTACTATAAAATACATTGCGCATCATTTCTAATATACGAATACAACTCTTATGTGTAATTTCCACTAGGCGGGTTACAACCTCTATTTTTCTTGGTTAAAATTTTTCCCTTTTTTGTGCCTCAATTTGTAAAATGTAAAGTATAGTATTTTCAAATGCATTAAAATGATATTGAACTTTTTATATGCGACACTATGATACATTTAGTCGAGATTCGAAAAAAATCAAGAAAATTAGGATTTATTTATTCTTCATACTTCTTACAATAATGATATTCATCATAAAAGTACACGAAACAACGGTTTTTTGCACTAACCGCAACGTATAATAGCCATGTTTTTGCATCCTTTTATGTCAGAATACGTATTGCAGGAATCTCAAAAACTATAAGCAACAGGATTATTATTAAAATGTTCTGGATGTTCAGTAGTATAACAATTCTTGAACCAGGAATATTAAAAACAATAGTATATCTTGAAGATAGTTGATTGCGAACTATTGATTGAAGTTTAATGATATTATTTATGTTATGTGAATCAAAATCGTAATTCATAAAAAATACAGTATCTGAAAATGGCCGGCTGAAGTTCTTCCATATATGAGATCCAAGAACATCAAATGATTGACTTTTGCCCATTATTCCAGTCGGTATTTTTTTTGACATTTATAATTTTATTATACAATGTTGTCTTTTCTATGACACTGTCACAATTACCGCTCCAGGATTCAAGCAACATCATCGTATTGGAGTATAATATCGTGTTATTATAGACCAAAGTTTTTTGTATGCATACATGAGGACGTTCCGATAAGTACTTAGCCTATAAATGAAAAAAAATCCTCCTTCTAGTTCGATATACTTGACCCAGCCATGCTCCAACTTCTTTAATCCATTTGTAAAAAAAGTTTTCTCGAGATCTGCAAAGTAGGCCTCCATGGCGGCGATTACTTCCTCAAGTTGAAAAACAAAAAAAAGTCGCACGGTGCTAAATCTGGAGAGAACGGTGAATGGGGCAGTAGTTCATAGTCCAACTCGAAAAATTTAGCCGTGACGAATGCGGAGGTATGAGGCGGTGCATTGTCGGGGTGGAAGAGCACTTTTTTCTTGGCCAAATATGGTTGTTTTTTTAATTCAGCATCGAATTGGCCCAATAATTCGACATAGTACTGCTCTGTCACCATTTTTCCCTCCTCCAAGTAGTTTTGCGCTTGCCTCCCCACGCTCTCAAAACAAAACGACAAGTCTAAGTTGTCGTCAGTAGCCGTTTATAGGAAGGTATTACACTATAGTATATTTCTCTTTCGATATTGGAGCCCTTCGACAGTAAAGCTAAGTACTTATTGGACCGACTTTGTAACTACATAAAAATTGCACAGCAATACAAAAAAAAAGTCTGTCTCAAAAACAACATACATACGAGGTCTGTTCGGAAAGTATCGGGCCTACGTTTATATCTTCGCGCCATAGTGTTCGAGCGATCTCTACCAGACAGAAACGTTAACAGTAAAGCCTCACGAATCTATTGGTTACTTACTGACACCTGCCGGACATCATGCGCAGTGTGAATTTGTTTACAGTGCCTTT